AGGCCATTCCCTATGGCTTTAGGCACTAGGCCAGCATTCATAGACCCTGGCTCCAACTGACTTTGTGGACTCACTTACCAGGCCTGCCACAGCACTCAGCTGGCCCTGGGCTCCTGAATGGTTCCAACAGCCCCAGGATCCGTGGACCCAGAATCCAAACCTGTTTTAGCAGATCCAGAGTCCAGGCCAACCTCAGTGGATATTGGTACCAGGATGGTCCCCATGGGCCCATGATCCATGTTTGCCCACCTGTTGCCCACCAGGTCAGCATGCCCAAAGACTCCAGCAGCAAGTCTCTGTGTGGAATATGCTAATTGGCCTTCACATAATCTCTGGATGGGCTGACTGGTAAAGGGTTTTGTGTGCTATAGCCATTCTGTAAAGACTGGTGTAAGTGCCTACTTCTTTAAATATACAGACACCAATACATGGCCACAAGGATTATGAACAAACAGTAAAACATGATACTGACAAAGTAACAAAATCAATCACTAGTAACTGATCTTAAGAAATGGAGATTTACAAACTATGTGACAAACAATTCAAAATGATCTTCTTAATGAAGCTCAGTAAGCTAAAAAAGAATACAGATAGACAACTAAACAAAATCAAGAAAACAATTCACAAATGAAATGGTAAGCTCAACAAAGAAATAGAAACTATAACAAAGAACCAGACATAAATTCTAGAGTAAAGCACACAGTGACTGAACTGAAAAATTCATAAAGAGCTTCAGTGGAAGACTTGATCAAGCAGAAAGAAGGATAAGTGATCTCAAAGGAAGTTCATTTGAAATTACCCATTCAAGGGAATAGAAAGGAAAAAATACGAAAAAGAATGAAGAAAACCTATGAGAATTATGTGAGACCATGAAAGCAGCAAAAGAAAAGCAACTGATCAGGTATGAGGGGTCTTCAATAAAACTATCAACAGATTTCTCAGCAGAAACTTTGCAGATCAGGAAAGAGTGGAATAATATATTTAAAATACCAGGGAAAAAAAAAAAAAAAACTGTCCACCAAGAATGCTATACCTGGTAAGGCTTTCCTTCAGAAGCAAAGGAGAGGTAAAGGCTTTCCCAGATGCAGAAAAGCTGTGGAAGTTTATCACCATGTGACCTACCTTACAAGAAATGCTAAATGAAGTTCTTAAAACTAAGAGAAAAGGATGCTATTTAATAATAAAAAAAAAAAATGGTAAAGGCAATATACATAACCTAAACATTTGTACCCCCATAATATGCTGAAATAAAAAACAATTATAAAAAAAGGAAAAATATGAAACTATAAATTCCACTGATACAACTTAGTACACAGTCAAATTCAGAATACTCTAATACTATGCTGATTGTGTATAAATCACTTATTTATTATAAACATTAAAAGACAAAACTGTGAATAATAGCTATAATAAGAGACAACAATTTGAATAATAGCTACAATAATTTGTAAAGAGAAACACAATATTAAAAGATGCAAATTATGACATCTAAAACATATAATGTAGGAGGGAAGGTAAAAGTGTAGTTTTTTTATACAATGAAATTTAAATTGTCACCTGCTTAAAATAGATTTTATGACCTTTAAGATATTTTGGGTAAGGCTCATGGTAACTAGAAAGCAAAGATCTATAGTAAGTGCACAAAACATAAAAAGTAAATATTATAGAATACCACTAATCCTCTAGTCAGAAAAGAAAATACTAAGAGAGGAAGACAGGAACAAAACACCAGAAAACAATAAACAAAATGACAGTAGTAAATTCTCACCTATCAATAATTACTTTGAATGTAAATGGATTCATTTCTTCAACTAAGACAAAGAGTGTCTGAATGAATGGAAAAAAAAGACCCAACATTATCCTACCTGCAAGGGACTCACTTCACCTTCACCTTAACAGATAGATTGAAAGTACGGGATGGAAATGATATTCTATGCAAATGGAAACCAAAAGTGGGCAGAGGTAGCTATACTTATATTAGATAAAATAGACTTTAAGTAAAAAAATATAAAAAGAGACAAAAGGCCATTGTATAATGATAAAGAGAATACAATTATAAATATGCATGCATCCAACATCAGAGCATATAAACATATAAAGCAATTATTAGCTGATCTGAAGTATGAAATAGACTGCAATATACTGATAGTAGGGGACTTCAATACCCCATTTTCAGCAATGGATAGATCACCCAGACAGAAAATCAAGAGGAAAACATTGGATTTCAACCAAACTTTAGACCAAATGGACTTAATAGATACATATAGAATATACAGCAGCAGAATTCGATTCTTCTCAAGAACAAATGGAACATTTTCAGGACAGATTATATATTAGGCCAAAAAGCAAGTTTTAACAAATTTAAGAATATGAAATCATATCAAGTATCATATTTAACCACAATGGAAAGAAACTAAAAATCAATAATAGGAAGAATTTCAGAATACTCAAAAAACATGGAAATTAAAAAAGATGCTCTGGAATAATCAATCAGACAAAAAGGAAATTAAAAGGGAAATTTAAAAACTACATTCAGGCAAACAAAATAGAAAGAGAACATAGCAAAACAATACTTATGGGATACAACAAAAGCAATTCTAAGAGGGAAGTTTAGAGCAATACATGCCTACATAAAAAAGAAAAAAAGTCTCAAATAAGCAACCTAATGTTATACATCTCAAGGCACTAGAAAAAAATTACACATTAAGCCCCAAGCTAACAGAAGGAAGGAAATAAGAAAGATTAGAGGAAACATAAATTGAGTAAAGAGTAGAAAAACACGCATACATAGCCACACACACAGTTGGCAAGGGGCCCAAGGGACTCATGATTATGGGTGATGAGGGGGGGGTCCGGTGGGGGTTAGGAAATGGACAGATGGCCCTGTTCGGTTCAGGACCTCTGTCCAGAGGCCAGGACGCTCTCTGTCGCTCAGGAATTTTTGCTCCAAGCCTAATACCACCTCTGTTCCTCTTCACGCTTGATAGCAGTGCCTAAATCCCATGACTACACCAAAAAGGGCCAGGAGGTAGGGGAAAGTTGGGAGCCAAATATCCAGAGACTAGAATAAGGGCAGTTTAGAGATCCAGACAGGGCTACGAGGGCAGAACTACTGCTACTGCTCATTGGGGTTGTGGTTCGCATCTGGGTAGTTGGTGAGGTCGAAGGTAAGGACTTTGCTGATCGATCACACAGTCCCCTTGCTCAGGATAGACTCCAATGAGGCCCTCAGCTTTGGTGTAGAACTCCTCCTTGAGAGAGATGACGATGGCCTGCAAGTTGCAAGTTGATTGCTCCTTGATATAATTTGCCACCTTGCCAATGTTGGTGTTATCCAAGGCAGCATCGATCTCATCCAGGACGAAGAAGGGGGCTGGCTTGTAGCTGTGGATGGCAAAGAGTAGGGCCAGAGATGCCACTGTCTTTTCTCCCACTGACAAGTTGTCCATAGGCCGGAAGTGTTTCGCAGGAGCCACACAATTGTAGTTGATGCCATCCACGTAGGGCTCCTCAGGGTTCTCAGGGCCCAGGAATGCCTGTGCACTGCTGTTGTGGGACAGGGCCTTATAGATCTCATCAATATTGGTAGCCACAGATTCAAAACAAGCATTGGAGCAGTCAAAGTGCTCCTTCTTGCTCTATTCAAATGCCTGCTTGGCCTTCTTTGCTCGCTTTCGGGCTGCCTCAAACTCATCTGAGGTCTCCTGGAACTTGTCTCGGACACTTTCCAGCTTTTCCATGGCCTTCATGTTGGGGGCAGCAATACGCTGAAGCACACTCTGCTGCTCATTCAGCTTCTGCTGCAGTGTGTTCATCTCTTGCTTGATCTCCTTCTCAGTCTGGGCAAACTTAAGATCTTCACACATCTTCACACATCTCTCGTGCATAGATACTGGAAATTCTCTGGGAACCACTCACTGAATCCTCCTCCTGAGAGCTACCTTCCTCCTGGCTAATATCATCCATGGTGCCTTTTGACAATGGCAACTCAGGCCTGCAGCAAGTTGTGGTGGTCACTACGCTTCTGTTCGAGGTTGGTCTCAATGGCTGTCACCTCCTTCTGTAAATGGGTCATTTACTTGTTGGCACCCCCTAGTTTCTTACGAATCTCCTCCATCTCGTGATTCTTGTCATTCACTTCTGACTTCTTGGCCAAGTGCTGATTCTTCAGGTCTTGGAGCTGGGCTATGGTCTCATCTATGATCTTCATGTGCCTTTGTTCCTCCTTCTTGAGCTTTTCTATCTCATTTTCGTCCTTTTTCACTGTCTGTTCCCACATGTGTACTTTATCCTGCCTGGTCCTCCTTCAGTTGGTTCTTTTCAAAATCCAACTGGATGCCTAGGCGAGTCTTCTGATTCTCAAACTCCAAACGCTTCTTGGCTAGCTCACTCTCCAGCTTGGACTTTCCTGCAGATTCAGAGCCAGATGCCGTGTCTTGGTCTGTTCCAGGTCACTCTGTGAGTACTTGAGCCACATCTGCAGTCCGTGGGCCATATGTGTGTTGGCACGTGTGCATGTGGGTGTGTTTGCAAAATAATAAAAAGATATTGGAGACCTGTTTTAGAAGAAGCCTAGGCTGAATTTGATTCCAAGAGAGCTTAGGATGACAGCACCCCATGGAAGGAGATTTTGGGTGCAGCTGAGCACCCTAGTGACTGTGTGGGTGCAGCTGAGCACCCAGGTGACTGTGTACCAACGAGGTGCGAAAAGCCAACGAGAGGTGCGAAAGGTGCTGTGTGAGCATACAGGAAACCACAACCGCAGACTGTCTTTCACACCTTTACAACTTACACAAGGACTTTGCTTTCTATTTGGGGAAGGGGGACTACTTCAGTACTTGGGGCTTGGGGAGGGCTTGGGGAGCATATATAAGCCTGAGGTTGCCTAACCTCGAGGCCCCCTCACACATCTCTGGGTCCGCCATCACCCAGACTCCAGAGTGTGGATCCACAATAAAGCTGTGGATCTTGGCCCAGAGCCGTGTGGGTATGCCAAGTCTTCTTGCCCTGGGGAAGGCAATGCAAGTTGGCCCTTCCAGCTGGCGCCCAACGTGGGGCTGGACTTGATTTCTGCAAACGGTGAGTTTGTGGGAGTTGCAGGGCAAGATGGAAAAGGGGAAGATGGGTGATGGACAGTGTCTAGGGAGAGACACGGTGAAAAAGGCACAGCGGGTAAGAGTGAGAGGTACCGGAAAGCCCATGCACAAGTTAGGGAACTTTGTCTGGGCAGTAAAGATAGCTGCAGCAGTCGCAGAAAGATCTATCGACAAAACAGCTGTGGGGGTTTTTAAAGGCGCTGGCCACCAAAGGGGGGGGCAGGGGACATTAATGTAGCACTAGACACCCTGCTAGTGTTATGGGTTACAGCGAAAGGGTTCACAGTGGAAAGTACAGAGGGTGCCGCAGATGTGGCAAAGGTGGTAGGATGGCAAGAACAGCTCTATGGGAAGAAAGAGCAGGATCCGGAGGCAGAAGCAGCTGCCTACCCGGTTGTAAATAGGGGACAGGGGTGGGCTTATGAGCCTATGAGTACCAGAACTGTCGCAGCATGGATTCGACAGACTAGAGAGAAGGGACTTACTAGTCCAGAGACAATCACATATTGGGGTTTAATATCCCAAGATCTGTCCAGCAGGGAACAGGTCCAACTGCTGGAAGTCATTCCAGGACTTCAGGCAGACAAGGATATGCTGGGGGCATATCTAGGAGAAAGGGCACGTGAGTGGGATGCGCAACCACAACAGCCATTGCCCTATACTTCTGCTCATATTAGGGGATTGACAGGGGATCAGGCCTTTGCCATATCAGCGCAAGGGCGAGAAGCTGCGCAGGTCTTTAGGGCCTGGATAACGCAGGGCTTAATGAGCTTGGCCCAGTTGCAGGCGCCACACCCAGGGTCAACAAAGATCTTGCAGGGACCAAAAGAGCCTTATGGGGAATTTATTAATAGACTGTTTCTCCAGATTAATCAGGAAGGAGCCCCAGAGGAAGTAAAGACATATCTTAAGGGGCATCTCAGCATTGAAAACGCTAATGCAGATTGCCAAAAGGCCATGAGTCATCTTAGGCTAGAGATGACACCAGTGCAGCCTTCTGCACTGGAACCTCCCCAAGGGGGAGAGATGGGGTTGTACCCCACCCTCAAGGAATTATTAAATTAGATCACCGGCCCCTAGTGACTCTGAAGGTAGGGAGACAATCGGTCACCCTCCTGATAGACACCGGGGCTGACAATACAATTATCCATCCTAAAGATTGGAAACCAGTAGGAATGGAAGAGGGGATAATTAACATAGGGGGAATTGGAGGTTCTCAAAAGGGGATATTATACAAACAAGTACCTATTAGTCTAGCAGATAGGCAGATACGGAGAACTGTCATAAGGGCAGTGACCCCTATAAATTTACTAGGGAGGGACAATTTAGTATCACTAGGAATTGGAGTAGTGATGCTAATGGCACAAATGTCAGTAAAAATAGTGCCGCTGCCAGTTGAGTTAATGCCTGGCTGTGATGGGCCAAGAGTAAAACAGTGGCCCCTTACGCAAGAGAAATATCAGGCTCTTGCTGAAATAGTATCTAAATTAGAAAAAGAGGGAAAAGTCAGTAGAGCAGAGGTAAGTAATCCCTACAACACTCCGGTGTTTGCCATTAAGAAAAAATCAGGCAAATGGAGAATGCTCATTGACTTTCGAGTGCTAAATGCTCGAACCAAAAAGGGGGCTGAATTTCAACTGGGCTTGCCTCACCCGGCCGGCCTACAAAAGAAAGATAATGTCACCATACTAGATATTGGTGATGCTTATTTTACCATACCATTGGACCCCACATTTAAAAAGTACACTGCCTTTACTCTAATACCACCTAATAATCAGGGACCAGCCAAGAGATTTGTGTTTAATTGTCTACCACAAGGGTGGGTGTGTAGTCCAGCCTTTTACCAAAGGACTATGAGTGACATCTTACAACTATGGAAACAAGCTCATCTTGAGGTCATGTTATATGTCTACATGGATGACCTTCTAATCGGGACAGACCTCCCCTTGAGGGAGCATAGAAGGCTGGTCCAAGAGCTTAGGAGTATGCTTCTTGGCTGGAGCTTTGAAACTCCTGAAGAAAACGTGCAGGACCAGTGGCCGCTACAGTAGATGGGATATGAGTTACACCCTAATAATTGGCAGTTGCAGGTCCGAAAATTAGAGTTACCAGATCACCCCACTTTAAATGAAGTCCCAAAACTGGTGGGAATTATTAATTGGGCTAGTCAAATTATTTCAGGGCTTAAAATAAAGAAGCTTACTGCTATGATGGCAGGGAATCAGGATCTCAATAGAAAGATAGAATGGACTAAGGAAGCTAGAAAGGAAGCTGAAGAGGCAGCTAAGCTGCTCTAGGAGCTCCCAGCAGGGGGGTATGTCGACCCCTTGAAACAGGTGGAGGCTAGAATAGCTTTTGTAGGTTTCCTCGAGGTAACCTACGACGTCCATCAGGAGAATATCATCCTTTGGTGTGGCAGAGTAGGGTCCAGCAAAGCTTATTGTAATCCGGTGGATCTGTATGTAAAAGCAGCAATAAAAATAGGCAGGGAAACCTTGATTAGGCTAGGAGTGGTCCCCATACTCACTGTCCCAGTAGCAAAAGATATCTGGGATAGTTTTGCATGGACTGCAGGGGAGGTAGCATGGTTCCCAGAAGTAAGACATCAGGCACCTCCTCTAATAGTTGAGAGATGGATGAAAATGGTATCAGAACCCATTAAGGGGGCAAGAACTTGGTATATCGATGGATCTAAGAAACGGGGCCAAAAAGCTAGAGCAGGAATTTGGACAGAGGGAGAGAAGGCACAAGTACAGGAACTGGAGGGCTCAAATCAAAAAGCAGAATTGGCAGCCTTATTGTATGCCTTACAGCAGGAAGACCAAGAATTAAACATTATCACTGATTCTCAATATGTAATGAAAGTGCTGCGACTCGTGCCATGGGTTAGCGATTCTCCCTTGGTGCAGAGCATCATACAAGCAGTAGAGAAAAAACAGGCTATCTATTTAGATTGGGTGCCAGGTCATAAGGGAATCCCAGGAAATCATAAAATTGATGAAGAAATTCAATATTGGCAAGGTTTGGTTATCCAAGGCACAGGTATCCTTCCTAAAAGAGAAGAGGATGTAGGCTATGATTTACAAATTCCAGAAGATGTGTACCTGCAGGGCTTGGAAAGGCGGTCCGTTCCGTTGAACTTGTGAGTTCAATGGGAAAAAGACCAATGGGGGTTGATTGTGGCAAAGTCCTCTATGGCTCAGATGGGGGTGATTCCTTTAGGTGGAGTCATAGATTCTGGGTATAGAGGACCCATCATCATCATCCTATGGAATCTTAATAGAAAGGCAGTACTCCTTAAAGCCGGAAAAAGAGTGGCTCAACTAGTTATAATGTCTCTACTTCATGAGGAGTTGCAACAAGTTCAGCAGGTCAAAATTGACACGGCCCGAGGTGAAGGAGCATTTGGTTCCACTGGAACCTATTTCTTGGAGGCCATCCCTAGAGCAGAAAGTGATCATGAACTATGGCACTCGGGGGTTAAAGCTCTCATGCAGGATTTTGGAATATCTCAAATGGTGGCTAAAGCCATCGTGCATAAATGTCCTAATTGCCAAGGGAAAGGGTCTGCCATTACAGGGGTGGTGGATTACACCCCGGGGACATGGCAGATGGATGTTACCCACTGGGAAGGACATAAACTGTTAGTAGCAGTTGAGACTGCTTCTGGGTTAACATGGGCTAAAACTATCCCTGATGAAACAGCCAAAACCACTTTGTTGGCTACATTAGAACTGCACAGTGTTTTCAAAGTGAGTCATTTACATACAGATAATGGGCTTAATTTCACTGCTGAAAGATTTACTAATGCTCTTGCCTGGTTAGGCATTAAGCACTCCACAGGCATCCCCTATAATTCTCACTCTCAAGGGGTAGTGGAATCTACCAATAAGTTGTTGAAAGAAATGCTCCACAAAATTAGACCCAAAATGGAGACAGTTCACGCGGCTGTCTATATGGCTTTATTTGTCATTAATTTTAAACAAAGGGGTGGAGTGGGAGGTACAACTAGATATGAAAGACATTTAGACATGGGATTGGAAGACTTACAAAATTACCATTTCAAAAATTTGGACTCGTACCATGTTTACTTTAAACAGCCACCTCAAAAAACCTGGCAGGGACCAGCTCGTCTCCTTTATAAGGGGCAGGGAGCAGTGGTCTGCGAGGATCAAGGAAAGACAATAGCAGTACCTAGACGCTACTGCAAGATCATAACAGGAGGGGAATAGCATACAGAATGCAGGAATGTTGGACTGACTCTGCTTTCCGAGTGTTTCAACAGCAGGGACCGTTGCTGCCGACCCTGAGGGATTGGAGTGAGTGGAGAGAGGCCTCTCTGCAACTACTGCCATATATGGCACCAGTAACAGCGGAAGAAAGAGACTGGTTCGACCTTCTAGCTTATGCTTTGCCTAAAGTACCCCTTTCTGTCTTAATACCTATTTTCAGGGGGCCGCAAGAAAAATGGCGGGTAAGCTTGCAACGCTGGCTTTGGTATACTCACTTTGCGCGGGGGCACTGGGAACACAATTAGCATTGCTTAAAACCCCACCCATTGTTAGACTTCTTACCAATAATACAGAACCCCCTATAGTGTTCTGTGAGTCTGAGCAGGGGCACTTGGGATGTGCTCCAGCTCTATTTTCGTATGTTAATGCTTCTATCAATATTTCTCACCCTTAGAGGAAGAGGTTGATCCATGGGATAGCTCTTTGGGATTGTTCACAGACTGGGTATCCGGAGCCCATATGCAGTGGCTGACTCAAAGAGCCCAGGAATGGAGGGGATATTGCCAACCAATGAACTGTACGCAGGCTAATAACTTTACTAGAAATTGTACCAGGCCTTATGTGGATTATGAAAGTAGACCTGAAAACATTCAGGAGACAATTTCACATATGCAGTTAAATTGTACTAATTCAACCTGTGTGTGGAAAGAGTGTAAACAAAGATTGTTCTTCCGGGGTAACCCACCTCTTGATGCCCAAACCTTTAGACTTTGTGTTAGACCACCTTTTGCTTTAAGAAGATGTCCACCAACCAATAGGACGGACTGGAGGCAACCTTATAAGTGCTCTGAGCAATGCCTAACTTCCTGTACAGAGGCAGTAAATATAACTGTCGAAACTTTGTGGCAATCACAGGGAGTGTTAAACCCAAATCAAACAGGGGTGAGCTGTTACCAAGAGGGAATGAGGGTAACAGTCCAAACTGAGCACGACCCCATTGGGATAAAGGTCTTGCAGACTGTGAAAATACCAAAAATGACCTGTAATCTTACAGGAGCTCAAAATAACAGTGGTCAAAAGGGCATAGTTGACCCCTGTTATTTCCTTTGCTATAATGCCACAAAGAAAGGAAGAGGAGGCAACGGCAATCCCATAGTGCTTATCTCTTGTAAGTACAATGGGACGTCTGGGACGTTAACCAATTGTGAAAGAGTTTTTAAAGTGTCAATGCCAGGGCCACAAGATCCCCTATATTATCCAACCTATCCTGGGGAAAAGTGGTTACTGCATCTCCCAATGGAGGAAACAGGGGATCCAGTACAGTGTAATGCCTCTTTCCAGTGGCTATCAAGGAGTGTGGCGTTACACGACACTGGGGTACTGAAGCCCAATATCTATAGCTCCTTTGGGGCAGAGGAAGCATGGAGAGATATGGTAGAAAACTACATAGTGTATCGTTTCCAGGAATGGACAGTGGTACCTGTTCAGGAGGGAGAAATAATATTATCTCGACCAAGGAGGGAACCAGTGACAATAATCATGGCTCTGATATCGCTGTTCACTCAGGTTAGAACAGCTATAAATGTGGCCGCAATGCACTGGGCGGGAACTGTGGTGACCGCAGTTGGGGTACTTGTGGACAACGAGGGGCTCCTATGGGAGTCACAGAGGCGCTTAGGCAACTTAGTGGATCACCTAGCGTTCCAGGTACAGGTGTTACAAGCGAGATTGCAGGCTATGGAGTATGTGTTGCAGGTTCAAGAATCTTGGTCTGAATTAGGCTGTGTTCCTTCACTGTGCCTTACGGACATCCCTTGGAACGATACATGGGGAGTTCCCAATATAACCCAGACTTGGAAGGAGTGGGATGATCAATTTTGGAAGAATTATGGTGAGGCTAGAGAGCTATGGCATAGACAGTTTTTAGAGGGACGAGGTAAATTGGCAAAAATCCGCAAAGATTTAGCTCAAACTGCTCTAGCACAAAAAGTCAAGGATGCTCTCAATTCAATTCCTAAATGGTTGTGGACTGGCTTAGCAGTAATAATTGTACTCATTATCATAATTCAAGTTGCTTGCATGGGACTTAAAATGCTTACTAAGGCGATTGTAAGCTGGGCAGGCTTTCTTGCATTGCAGCCAGAGGCGCCTCGCGACGTAGAGCCCGACGCCGCCATTTACAAAAACAACGGCTACGCAAATGGATGGCGCGACTACTGGCAACTCTGGAGCGGTGGGACCCTTTTCCAGATGACTCGCCGGCCTTAAAAGAAAAAGAAAAGAAAGGGTGACCTGGAAGGAGATTTTGGGTGCAGCTGAGCACCCTAGTGACTGTGTGGGTGCAGCTGAGCACCCAGGTGACTGTGTACCAACGAGGTGCGAAAAGCCAACGAGAGGTGCGAAAGGTGCTGTGTGAGCATACAGGAAACCACAACCGCAGACTGTCTTTCACACCTTTACAGCTTACACAAGGACTTTGCTTTCTATTTGGGGAAGGGGGGCTACTTCAGTACTTGGGGCTTGGGGAGGGCTTGGGGAGCATATATAAGCCTGAGGTTGCCTAACCTCGAGGCCCCCTCACGCATCTCTGGTTCCGCCATCACCCAGACTCCAGAGTGTGGATCCACAATAAAGCTGTGCATCTTGGCCCAGAGCCGTGTGGGTGTCTTCTTGCCCTGGGGAAGGCAACGCAAGTTGGCCCTTCCACTCCAGAGTTGGACAAAGGTACTGTGGATATCATAGGAGTCTTAGGCAATTACCTGAAACTGCTTTCATTCACTCATTCATGTGTTCATCAAACACATATGAAACACCCTCTGTTTGTCAGGCTGTGTGCTTGGAATACAGAGTTAAATCAGACATGATCTCTAATCAGACATGATCTCTACTCTCCTTATAAGGAGATATAATGAGTTCACGAATTACTGTAGTTAGCTGCATGTTGTATGTACCTTGAATTAAGAAGAGGACAATTACCTTCAGGCTTCCTGGAGAAGGTCACATTTGAGCTGGACCTTGAAAAATTGGTAGGATTTGGTCAGGCACTAGGAACAGAGCATAGGCTCTAAGGACAGTTATGGGTTCTAGTCCCACTTTTTATCACATACTAGTTGTTTGACCTTGGGAAAGCCATTTGACCTTTCTGTGCCTCAGTTTCATCATCTGTAAAATGGGGCTAAAAATATTACCTACCTCATAGGATTTAATGATGTCAAGCTCCTCACTGGATGCCTTATCCCTTCTTGGATCCCACTAGGTGTTGACCCCTACGAATATAAACCTGGCCCATTGAGGGCTTCTGATCCCAGCTATTAGGACAGAAGGAGGCTCCAAATCTGGGAGGTTATGAATGCCCTGGTTACTAGGAAAGTTCCAGGGCACTGATGGGGTGTACCTGATAAGTGGAGGGAGGGCCTGAGGAAAACTATAGCTTCAACCATGTATGATAAACAGGTGCCTGAGACCCAACCTGAGTTATGAGGAAATAGGGGAGAGGTAGCCTGGACTACATCCCAGCCTAACAGGTGAGGTTCCTTTTGGGAACTAACCTCATGAGCTGTTAAGGACCATGCAGAGGCAGGCACAAAGCCTGATGTGATGAATTCAGCCTTCATTCATTCATGTAGTACCGTTAGACTTTTGTCTTTTCCTAATCTGTATATTGTTTTTATGCTTTTTAAAAGTTAGCTGGGCGCGGTGGCTCACGCCTGTAATCCTAGCTCTCTGGGAGGCCGAGGCGGGCGGATTGCTCAAGGTCAGGAGTTCAAAACCAGCCTGAGCAAGAGCGAGACCCCGTCTCTACTATAAATAGAAAGAAATTAATTGGCCAACTGATATTATATATATATTATATATATATATATATATATAAATTAGCCAGGCATGGTGGCGCATGCCTGTAGTCCCAGCTACTCGGGAGGCTGAGGCAGAAGGATCGCTCGAGCCCAGGAGTTTGAGGTTGCTGTGAGCTAGGCTGACGCCACGGCACTCACTCTAGCCTGGACAACAAAGTGAGACTCTGTCTCAAAAAAAAAAAAAAAAAAAAAAAGTTAAATCATTTCTAATTACCCAAGTAATGCATAAATCCATCCTTCTTTTGGGAAATTAGATTGTTAGATAAGGTAGCCTCATTTGGCTACCAACTACTCCCCTTCCTGATCCTTCTCCTCTTAATGGTGGTTATGTTTGTTGTACTTCCGTCTAGACTTTGTTTTAATACTTTTACATACATTTATGAATTCATTGAAAAAAATCGTGTTTAATGCAAATGGTATATTGAATTGTTCTGCAATTTTCTTTCTTTGTTTAACAATGTTTTTGAGATTTATGCATGTTGCTAAATATCGATCAGTCCATCCTCTGTAAATTGTATGGATTGCCATCATATGACTACCACATTTTACTTATTTCCCTTGTGATGGACATAAAGACTGTTTTCAGTTTTTTGCTATTACAAAATACTACACAGGAGCATCCCTATGCCTGTGTGAAAGTGTGTGTGTGAAAGTTTACCTAGGGTTCATTCCTAGAAGTGGAATTGCAATCATAGGATATTTATGTATTTGTTTTTAATAGATACTTCCAAGATGCCCTCCTGTACTATTTACTCAGTATTTTTCTTGAAGTTATCTGAGGTCTAACATTGTTATCTATATCAGTTTCATCCTAAGTAGTGATATTCGTGAAATCATAGGTTTGATGTGCTAATTATGTTTTTCTAATACATATTAAAAAGCATAACTATTAAAACAAAAAAAAGAGTAGAAAAACAATGGAAAAGATCATTGAAATTGAGTTACTTTTTTTGCAAAGGTAAAGAAAATTGACAAATCTTTATTTAGCTAGACTAAGAAGAAAAGAAGGAAGGTAAAATTAAATAAAGTCAAAAATGGAAAAGGAGGCATTACAACTGGATTACCACAGCAATACAAAGCACCATAAGATACTACTATGAACAACTATTTACAAAAAAAAATGGATAACTTAAAACAAATGGATAAATTCCTAGACACATACAACCTACAAAGACTGAATCATGAAAAAATAGGAAACTTTAACAGTCAATAATGAATGAAGAGATTGAACCAATAATAAGAAGTCTACCTTCAGCTTTAAGAAACAACAGTGATATAGCACATTTTTTATTTTCCTGGATAGAACTGGAACCCATTCTACTAAGTGAAGCATCCTAAGAATGGAAAAATAAGCACCACATGTACTCACCAGCATACTGGTTTCACTGATCAACACCTAAGTGGACATATAGGAATAACATTTATCGGGTGTCAGGCAGGTGGGAGGGGGGAGGAGGGGATGGGTATATACATACATGATGAGTGTGATGTACACCATCTAGGGGATGGACACACTTGAAGCTCTGACTCAAGGTGGGTAGCAAGGGCAACATACATAACCTAAACATTTGTACCACCATATTATGCTGAATTTTTTTTAAAAAGGCATAAAAAGGTCTATCATCAAAGAAAATCCCCTGACCTGATGGCTTCATTGCTGATTTTTACCAAACACTTAAAGAAGAGCTAATACTGATACTTCACAAACTATTCCAAAAAATTGAAGAGAAGAAATACTTCCAAATTCCTTTTATGAGGCTAGCATTACATGATACCAAAGCCACATGAGAACACTACATACAGGGAAAAATACAGGACAATATCATTGATGAACATAGATGTAAAAATCTTCAACAAAATATAAGTAAACCAAATTCATCAGCACATTATAAGAATCATTCACTCTGATCAATTGAAATGTATTCCTGAGATACAAGTATGATTCACCTGTTGTTAAGACTGAGTTATATGCCCACTTCTGGAAAGATCGTGCCTCTAAATACATACATGCATACAGCTAAGTTACCAATGCAAAAGAAAAGGAATTTTTGGTATGCAAAAATAATGGCCAAAATATCTAAGAGGTCATTGTAAAGAAAGTGAGAGAATGGAGAGAGGAATCTAGAGCATGGTAGGAGAAGATCTTTACTTAATAGGACTTTATCTGATTACATAGCACTTTTCATAACCCATAATTAATTTATTGCTGAATATCTTATTTATTGTTCATTTCTCCATCAAATTCATCATTTTCATGAGTATATGGGTTACATCTGTCTTATTTACTCACCACATTATCCCCAGATACTACTACAGTATTAGGCTTTCAGTGATTATTTATTGAATGAGTAAATATATAGCAATGGTTCTCAAATTTGTTGGTCTCAGGACATCTGTATGTTTTAAAAAACCGAGACCCCCCCAGAGAGCTTTTGTTTATGTGGGTTATCCCTATAAAAATTTATAATATTAGAAATTAAAACCAACATTATAAAAATGCATTTATTAATTCATTTAAAACTAATAAAACCATTACATGTTAGCATAAATAACACATTTATTAAAATTTGTCTTTTGCAAAATGAGAAGCAGTTATTGAGAAAAGTAAATTTTCATAACAGCAAATATATTCCATCATTTGCAATATGCTGTTTTGATTGAAATATATGAAGATAATCTGACATCACACAGATATGGAGTTAAAAAAAGTAAAAATTATTTTTATAGTCTTTGAAAATAATTGTGGACATCCTTTTGGGTATTATTCCCAAATAAAGTAAAGGGTAATTTCTTATAGGTTAGTTATAACATGAAATCTGAAACCCTATCAATGAACTTTTTTATACTCTGTTATAAAAATCCATTATATTATCTTGAAATTTAAATGAGTCTTTTACCCATGCATAATTTTGTAACATCATCAATTGGTCATTTGGGAAATTCTGGTTCACTGAATTACATACATGAGTATGTTAACATATCTCATTACACAGTACCAAAAAAATCACATTTGCTATTATCACCACCAATCTCATCAGAATTGTCTTTAAGAATAAGCTTAAATAATAAGAGTAAGCATATAGGGATAGTTACAAATAATTCAAAATTCTATTTTCTTGAAAGATCAATTTTTTTCATTAGCAACAAAAATGATCAGTTATTTTTCTTTCAATGACAGTCTTATTTCTTTCATTTTCCACAAAAGAAAACAAATTATCTAGAAGATACACAAGTCTGAAAAAACAATAGTTTGTCAATCATTTGTAAGTCAAGTAGAATGGTATTCCATAAAAATATGCAGATAGTAGAAGATAATAATCCAAATGTTTCAAGAGTAAAGAAAAGATAAATCTTTAAGGTGACGGATATCCCAATAATGCTGATTTGGCCTTTACAAATAATATGAATTTAATAAATTATCACATG